AGTCATGTCCACTTTCTTCCGTGGTATTCTATTAAGAATATAATTCGCGGAGAGAATTGCTTCCCCCCATAAGTTCTGTGGCAACCCCGAACTTATCAACATTGCATTCATCATCTCTTTCAGCGTCCTGTTCTTCCGCTCAGCAATATCATTTGACTGAGGCGAATAAGGCGCTGTGGTTTGGTGAATAATCCCAAGTTGAGCGCAAGTCTCGGCAAACGGGGATTCATACTCACCACCACGATCATTTCCAATGCCTTGATTTTCCGGCTTAATTGATTCTCAACTTCATTCTTAAAAAGAATAAATTTATTAATAGCCTTGTCTTTGCTTTTAAGCAAATACACATAACAATATTTAGTGCAATCATCAACAAAAGTGATGAAGTACTTGTTGCCACCACGCGATTGTACAACTTTCAAGTCACACACATCACTATGCACTAAACCCAAAGGCTGGGTACTTCTTTCAATAGAATGAAAAGAAGACCTTGTCAATTTTGCTTCTACACAAGTTTCACACTTGTGTTGTGGATTAATCTTGAAAGATGGTATGTGATCTAACTTGATTAATCTACGTAAAGAGTCAAAATTTACATGACTCAATCTACCATGCCATAAATTAGGGGACTCAAGCATATAAGCAGAAGAAGAAGCTTTCTCATTAATCTTAGGGATAAGTGTCATTAAATTCAATTTAAACATACCACCTGACATATATCCTTCCCCACATAGAACCCGCCCTTGGTCAACACGACCTTGTCTGATTCAAACACCATGTGGAAGCCATGCTTGCTTAGGAGAGACCTCGAGACAAGGTTCTTACGAATGTCCGACACATAAAGGACATCATTCAAAGTCAGTTCTTTTCCTGAAGTCATCTTCAGGATCACCTTGCCTTTACCCTCAACAGCTGAGGTTGCAGAGTTTCCCATAAACAACTTCTCCTTGTTTGAAACCGGTTCGAAAGTTGTGAACATTCTCTTCTCTGCACAAATATGGCGAGTCGCTCCAGTGTCCACCCACCACTCTCTCGGGTTTGACCCCACCATGTTCACTTCTGACACGACGATTGACAGATGCATGTCGTCCACATCGTGTGACAATTCCTCCATTTCAGCCATATGTCCCCGGTTTTTGTGTTACGGAGGGTTTTTCCTGTAGGGCTTCTTCTTCAGACAATCAACTGCCCGATGCCCGTCACTTCCACAGTTGAAGCATTTGCCATTGAACCTAAAAGTAGGCTCCTTTGGCTTGTAGGCTGGCCTTTTGGAGATTCCTCCTCTAGCCCCCAACTTTGAGCTTTTGCCTGTCGGTGGTTTTTTCCTCGCCCCCGAGGACTCGCCATGCTCAACCATGTTGGCTTTGACAATGGAGGTACTCCTTCCTTTCTTCCTGTTGTCCTCTTCAATCCGGAGCCTGACAACGAGCTCTTCGACTGTCATCTCCTTACGTTTGTGCTTCAAGTAGTTCTTGAAGTCTTTTCAGCCGTTAGGCAGCTTCTCAATCAAAGCAGCTGCCTGGAATGACTCACTTAGGACCATCCCTTCTGCATGTATCTCGTGCAGATTCACTTGGAACTCTTGGACTTGACTCAGGACAGTTTTAGAGTCCACCATCTTGAAGTCCAGGAACCGGCCGATGATAAATTTCTTTACCCTAGCATCCTCGGTCTTGTACTTTTTGTCCAAGGCATCCCACAACTCCTTAGCCGATTTCTTGGCATAGAACACGTTGAAAAGCAGATCCGCCAAGCCGTTCAGAATGTAATTCCGGCATAAGAAGTTTGCTTGTTTCTAAGCATCCAGAGCCATGAGCTTTTGTTTATCTTGCTCATTCTCCTCTACGGCTGGTACATCTTCACTCAGAAACCTCGCAAGGCTTAGAGTGGTCAAATAAAACCGCATTTTCTGCTGCCATCTCTTGAAATTCACTCCCGTGAACTTCTCCGGGCGCTCGTGATGATTGAGCGGTCCTCCCAGAATAGCCGGAGTAATAACAGGAGTATTGACCACAGAGGTCACAGCACGGGTTAGCAAACCAGTCGCCCCGGGGTTCGGATCCCCACCAACATTAGCAGCAATAGCAGCATCAGAGACAGTTGCCATTTCTGAAAAATTACAGCAGAATTTTCACTATTCTGTATTTTCAGAAATCAAACTTAACACTAGAAAATCCCACAATTGGAAATTTAATTCAAAACTAGTCTCACTACGCAACCTAGAATCGAACATGGTCAGGAAAGTTTCCAGGAAGACTGGAGGGGTCACACCGGTCCCACTTAAAACCCAGTCAACCTTAGACAAAACTTTCAAGACCATGTTGACTCCTAGTCCATGGGAAACAACTTTAAGAATTAAATTTTCCAAGGGATGAACTAGGTTAAACACACCAAGTTCCAAACTGTACAAGCAATTACAACAAAATTGTTACAATAATTATAAGCAAATAAAACGTGCTTTACATATTTAGTACAAATTAATCCTTTTTCCCATTCCTATAGGTATTCCTGCAATAAAGAGTTAGCAGCAAAATACAACAAAACCTCCCTCAGCTTTTCTTTGCTTTTGGAAAAGTAGTGATTGAAGGGGAGAGTACTAGCAAACAAAATAATAAATAACTGTAAGTAAAGATTAAAATCAACCCTTAAGTTACACATCTAGAATTTAAAAAAAAAAAAAAAAAAAACTATAAAAAATTAATTACATAATAAACATGTAATTAACTATACAAGTTACAAACCCAAAATTAAATATAATTAAACCATATTTTAAATTGGTAAATGTTACATATGAACTTATGGTACACAAAATATGTAATTAATTGAGGCAAGTTACAAACATTTTATAACGCCTAAACACTTAAATCACATTACTAGGCAAAAATTGCAAATGACATGATTAATATGCAAATAATTCTAGAGAAATTAACATGAATTTAAATATAGGCAAATTATAAACTTTACAACTCCACACCTAGGTACAAGTTACATGTAAATTTACTACCTAATAAACATGCTAGAAATGTAAATTACACTAAAAATTAAACCCGAATGAACATGTAATTTATATTGTAAACTAGAAGCATGTGAACTAGAAGCATGTAAATCTAGAAATACAAGGCATGAACCAATACACCATAAATTAATAAATTAATTAGAAAATACAGTGAATTAACGTTGCACCAATGGAACTCTTCTTCCCTATTGATAACAGTGGTCTATTCCATGCCATGGGAAGACCAAACAGTAGCATACACAAAATGGCAAAATCAAAAGCTTAACCCTGTGTACATGCATCTAATAAACCAATTAACTCGCTAGTACTACCAGTGGCCAATTACATGCAAAATTATTACACACACCTATGAATCTATTAATCTAATTCTATGATAAACATCGAATCTATTTTAAGCTTGTTGGGAAAAACTACTCATATTACATAATTTCACATTGCATATCGCAAAATTATGAGATGAACAAAACAAACCTCCAATCCCAGAAAATATAACATGCTGAATAAAATACAGATAAAATATAAAATGGTTAAAGGAAGCAAACCGAAGCCTGTGTGATACCATAGTCTCCTTAAAATAGATTCGCCGCCTCACCGTTGGGTGTTGGAGGTATGCCGGCGTCTACTTCCCAAGATACGACGGTTTTTACCAGCTACAACAGAAGCACCTTCTGATTAGCTTAGTGAACTGACAACGGCAACACTCTCTCTCAGGAAGAAAATTATAGGAGAAGTAGACTGACAGGGTATGGATGCCAAGAAAAAATTCTATCTATATTTTTTTTCAAGGAATAGAGCCTCCTTTTATACACCATGGGGGAGATGGGATGAGCCTCTAGCCATCAAGGCTGGCAACTAATGTTAGCAAAACTGCCCAATCAATTTTGTAAAACTGATGAGCCTTAAATATGTGAGTTATATACACATTTATGAGGCAATTTCTCATTCAACCATTTTTCTCCAACAAAGTCAAGTAACACATTTTCAATTAAATTTCAAAATATAATGAGTAATTATAATTCATCAAATGCATCCCATTACAAAACTAATAGGGTAAAATTATCTATTTATATTTGGTCATTTTTACACCTTGTTTATTAAAATTTATTTATTTTTTCATTTTAGCCTTTAATATTTTAAGTTTTTCCTAATTTATCCATAAAGCTAATTTTTATTACCAATTAGATAGGAAATAACATATTGACAATCACGTGACATAAAAATATTTTTTTATATATAAATGACACTTTTGACATAAATTTAAATCTTAATATAATAATATATTTTTTAAATTATGTAACAGTTATCGTGAATGTTTTTTAGTGCAACTCTAAAATATAAGAAGAGTTATACCAAACACATAAATGAATTTATACCATGCATTTAGGAGAGTTGCACCACGAAAATGTAATTTTTTTTCTCACTACTGCAATTTTCCCAACAAATAAATTTTGAAGACCAAAATAAGAAAATAACCAAATATAAATGGGTCAAATTGTAATTTATGCAAACTATTAAATATGTTTAAATTTAAATGAAGTTGAAATTAGAAGTCTTGCAAAGAAGTAGACCAAAAAGAAAAAGAAAAAGGAAAAGAAAAAGAGAAAAAAATTACAATAATATAAAAATATAAATAATTTTATGATGGGATACAATATTTATGTAATTTAATTTTTTTATTTTTTTATATTTTTCTATCCAATTGACTAGTCACTTCCCCTTTTATAAATATCAAAATATTTTTTCAACAATGATAGAGACCACTAATTTTAAAAGTCTAAAAGATCACTAATGACATAGTACTCAATAAAAAAAAAAATACAACATCAAGGCCAAAACATCAAATCATTCCTGGTAAGACCCACTGCCACATCATTAGTGATAGCACTAATTAGTGCCCTCACTCATTTTCCATAATTTTTATTGATTTTTTCAATTTTTAATTTTTTTTAACGGACTTTTAAAACATTTTTCGCTAGTTCCCCAAAACAGAGCAATTTCTTGATTATCAAGAACAGATCTTTTCCTCTACCCCTTCTAGCTAGAAAACCCTAGTTTGCACATTCTAGCTAGAAAACCCTAATTTTCATCAGCTGGAGACACATACACATACCTATATATATATATACACAATCATACATATCAGTGAAAGAAAATGAAGGGTTCATCAGAGACCAAATTCTTGCAAGAATTGATATTGTACGCAGCTAGCGCCGCCCTGAGCTGCCTGGTGTTGTTCGCTGGGCTTCGACACCTTGACCCAAACCGCGAGGCCTCCAAGAAAGCTCTCGAACACAAGAAGGAGATCGCAAAGCGTTTGGGTAGACCTCTCATTCAAACCAATCCCTATGAGGTATATATATATACACATAAACCCTATATCTACTATACCCTAATATTTTTTTCGGTGATATCTAATTGGTCATATGTTCTATTGGGCATTCAATCTATGTTGTAATAGATGATTAGCACCCTATTCGAATCTGTTTTTTTTTTTTTTTTGTCTTTAATTTAATGATTATGAAGAACCCACATCTTTTTCTGTGTTCCGTCTAACTAGAAACCCTAGTTGTTTTTAGTTGCAGACATGTACACGCATGCATGATGGGAACAACTTACTTTGTGTGAACAATTTTGAAGTTTTATCACACTTTTTAGCTGCCTAATTGTCCACAAGAATAAAAGCATGTTCTTTGTTCGGTCTTTGATGACAATTCTCTCTTTGATAATATGGGCAAAGCAGTGAAATTTGTTTTGGAAAAGCTCACTTGACCCACGACCGGAACATTTACACAACAATTGATTCGGTTACAAGACTCTCTCTTCTATCTCTCTATTTAGTTTTAGAAGAATTTAAATAGTGAATAATTGTAGGATGAAGGTTTTTGTTGGTTGGAGAAGTGTAGATAATTTAAGTATAATAAAATTCAAGTAATGCGTCTGCTCAAATGAAAGATGGCTGTAACATTCATTTGAAAAACTCCGATGAAATCAAATTTGAAGTAAAAAACTTGGGCAGTTATATAAGGTTAATTAGGGCATGAAAAAATATTTGACTGCTTCACAAAGTGAGTTGTGTGTTTTATATAATAGAATAGATAGATTTATATATCTAATTGTAGAATGAGGGATTTTGTTAGTGGGAGGTAGGGATAATTTAAGTGTAGTAAAATGCACACACTGCACGTCTAGTATATTATATGTATTTGTGAAAGAAAAATTAAGTTGTCAACTAGGAGGGTTGGGGAAAATGAAGGGCTTATCTGAGACAAAATTCTTGCAATAACTGCTTTTGTACACTGCTAGTGCTGCCCTCAGCTGTTTGGTGTTGTTTATTGGGCTTTGACACCTTTACCCTAACCGCGAGGCCTCCAAGTAAGCGCTCAAATTCAAGGAGGTTGTCAAGCGTTTGGGCATACCTCTCGTTAAAATTGAATGGAAATTGGACAATAACAAAACTTAATCTGTCAAATCTTTTTGCAAGTATTTTGTAAAGAGTTTGGGAATGAAAAAGAATTTTAAGAGGGTGGTATGGTTGAAGCTTGTCCCTCCAAAGATGCAATTGTTTTGTTGGCTAGCATTCATGGGTAGGATTGCCACAAGAGAATTATCAGTTAAGAGAGAGATTATCCCAAATGATTCAACCAACAACTGTGTTTCTTGTGGAACAGGGGAATAGACTGCAGATTATTTATTAGTCTTTGTGCCGAATCATGGAGGGTAAGGTGTAATATTTTGGAATGATGGGGTCTACGTTGGGTGTGTCCTGGAAGCTTTGAGAGTTTGATGTCGTGGTGGGTACTAAGGTTTGAAGAAAATCCTCTGGAAAACCCCTGTTCTACTCTCTCTGTGTTGTGGCTAACAAGAAATATGGGTCTTTAATAATTTGAAATTTGCTAGAACCAACTAAATCACTAGAGCTGCATTTTGGGTTAAAGCAAACAATTCTAATTGTTCTTTCACAGAGGAATTTTTAAATGCAATTGAAGCCAAAACAAGATGATCCAAAGGAGAGTCCTTTAGCTGTATTGTGTTGGTTCAATGAAGAATGATATGAATTCCCATGAGGGGAATGTTTGATGCAGTTGTCCTTTTTTAGTTTCTTTGTTCTATTTTTACATTTAGCTGTCTGGAGTTCTTTTACTCTTAATGGTATTTGTTTCCTTCTCGATATGTAGCTCTTTCCATTGCACTAGTTCTTCTGAGTTCAATAAATTCTTTTCTTTGGCAAAGTGAAATGTTTGAACCTTTTTTACTAGAAACTTTTTCACCTTATTTTTGTATTGAAAGTTTGCTTGTTTATTGACTTGACCAATTTGAAACCTTTTCACCTTACTTTTGTGTTTAAAGTTTGCTTGTTTGGTGACTTGACCAATTGAAATATGAGTTTTATATTAGTTTTTTTTCCCCTCCTTTTTCTTAGAAGTAATTTATTTCAAAAAGTATCGTTTTGGAGTAAACTGCGGCAACGGTTGTCTTAGCATGTGTTTATGATTGGCACTAGTAGGTACAAGCAAAGATTGATGTTTAATTTGTTAATGCGAATGGTATAACTGTATAAGAACTGAATACTGGTATTTGGATGATAGTACTTTAAATGTTACTGTAAGTCCTCACAAATATGCTTTGTTGTTCTTTGTGTTTGACTTTTACTATGTTCTTTAATGATTAATAGGACGTAATAGCTTGTGACGTAATTAATCCTGACCACATAGATGTGGAATTTAACTCTATTGGAGGGTTGGAAACCATTAAGCAAGCTTTATACGAATTGGTGATTCTTCCATTAAGGAGGCCTGAGCTGTTTTCACACGGGAAGCTTCTTGGTCCTCAAAAAGGGGTCTTGTTATATGGACCACCTGGCACTGGGAAGACCATGCTTGCCAAAGCCATTGCAAAGGAGTCTGGAGCTGTTTTCATTAATGTGAGGATATCAAACCTAATGAGCAAATGGTTTGGCGATGCACAAAAACTTGGTAAGTGTGGATCTCCTATTGCATTTGGTCTTTTCTCTTTTGATGGTTTTGTCAATTAGATTATATGCTTAACTGTTGAGGGCTTGATAACCTCAATTTCTATTGTCAATTGATGCTATATTAGATTGACTCTTTAAAAATTTCGAGTTACCCATGTTGGACATTTGATATATGGGTTAGGATATTCCACCAAGAAGTACAGACACTTCTAAGAATGTTGTGTGTTGTGTCCGACATCGTGTCTGATATTGACACGACAGGACACTACACTCGTTAGACACTTCCCAACTCTTAGTCCCTCATGAAACACATTGCAAATTTGAATAAAATAACTTGGAATATGATAAAACGAAAACAATGTAAATTTACACACATTCTCCTCATTTAGACATGAAAATTTATTACCTTTTATCTAAACATTCATGTATATGATATATAATATTACTTATCCTAATATATGACAAATAATAAATAAATAAAATTATATATTTTGCATGTATCCTTCACATGTTATGTTTTACATTTTTTGAAAATTCACGTGTCGGCATGTCGTGTTGTGTCACGTGTTCATGTTCGTGCTTCTTAGGTATTTGATAGCCTGACTTGGCTAGTTGGACATACACTTGGCAAGCACGTGAGGTCAAGTTTACCATATAGTTAATTCACTCGTTATGTTACTTTTGCAACATGTTGCTTCAAGGTGAGTGAAGTGAATATTCATGCCATTACTTCAGTTTACCATTTTACGTAAAATGACCATTTTATTTTAGGATATAATAGAAATAATCAAGCAATGTGAATATTTAGCTGTATTTAAGTATCCTTGGATTTGGAAATTAGATGGATTTGCTATATGCACAAACCTAGACGCATCCAGTCTTTGAAATATGGTCATCAATACTTTGACACAGATTGATACAAACTATATGATACATATTGCATGCTTTCAGCTTGGTTTAGTATATGATATTATCATTACTTGGTGTAAGTCACCTAAGTTGCTTTGAATCCTTTGATCATGGATAGTTGACTAAACTATATTCGTTAGCCAGTGAAAGCTGAGGTTGATGATAGAGCGTGTAAATGACTATATAAATTTGAAAATATTAGATTTAAGAAGTGTTAGAGCTTCAGCAGCTTAGAATATTTTTTATTCAACACAACAGAGCCATGTAAGCTGCAACTCACATTGCTGGCATTCTGGTGTAGTTGAAGGGGACAACTCTGCTGATTTGCTACCATAGATACGACTCATAAGACATTGGACTGTTGTGATAAAATACTGTGTTCGCTTATGATCAAATAATTCTCTGAGTGAATCAACTTGTTTCTCTATCAATCTAAAGTAAGGGCTTCTTTAAAGCTGTGGATCAATGATTTGAGGAGGGATTTGTAAAAGGAAAGGAAAAAAGACAATTCGACAAAATCTAGCTTATATTTCCATCACTTTTCACTATTTTATTTCTCTCCACAAATCCTTGATCCAAACACACTGTAAAGGATCTGAGGATTGAGAATGGTTGATATTTGTGACTATAGAAGTTATAAACTCATGGGGTTTTGATTTTATTTTGCGGGCCCATTTCTACAAGTGAGACAGTTAATGTTATCTTAATTGCTAGTCTTGTTTATGAGCAACGAATGCTTTATACTTTTATGACATTTTTATCTCAAAAAATTGCCAGTAAATTTTGTCACATCGTTAAACTAGCAACATGTAAGCATTATCTCATCCGAGAGCGTTCGCGGTATATGTAAGTAAATATAAATTGTTGCATAAATTTTATATCCAGTATGTAAGAATCTAGAAAAATTAATGAATTTATATCGAAGCTATATGGAAGAATCTAGAAAATTTGCTAGTGTACACCATCTTCTTTAATTATGTGAAACATAGTAAATAAGGAAGAAAAAAATAATTCTGATGTGATGGGTCTTGTAACTCTGTACTTCATGTTGCAAATTTATATATGTGCACGATATTGTGTTCTCTGTACTTATCATTGTTAATATTGTACAAAACTTCTGCAGTGGCTGCTGTCTTCAGCTTGGCTTATAAACTCCAGCCTGCCATTATATTCATTGATGAGGTCGACAGTTTTCTGGGTCAGCGTCGCACAACAGACCATGAAGCCTTGACAAACATGAAGACTGAGTTCATGGCTTTATGGGACGGTTTCACCACAGACCGTGAGTTTTCTCAGTCTATAAATGACAGTAATACTGTTCCATACTTCTTTCTCGTCTGTAAAATGCATTATAGAGGTTTTTCCTTAGCTGTTTTCTAATCATATTGGATGCTGGATTCTTTATTTGTTGGCTTAACTGTGTTTGGATGAGAGTAATTTTGGAGGGATATGGCAACTCATTACTAGTAATAAGATTTCCTGTGTCAATCATAGTCAAGCGTTTGATTTCATTAGGCATTCTATATGGGAAAATGATAAAATTTAAACATTGTGGGCCCAATTATTATTAGTTCCTCTTAAATGGCTAACATTCCTCCAGGAATGTGAGATTTTCATGGGAAAGTGGGGAAATCAAATTCTTACATGGTTTAGGAATGTGATTCTTGGCAAAATAGATGATCAGAATCACTTTCCCATTCCAATATGTTCCAAATGCTGATATCATAATTACGTTCTCATCCCCTCAAGATTCATGTCATCCAAATGTAGCCTGCCTTAAATTCTCTAGTTAATCTAGTTTTTGGGCAAGGCTTTTGGTTATTATGATGATATTATATTGGTTCTGTAGAGAATGCTCGGGTGATGGTTCTTGCTGCAACTAACCGTCCGTCAGAACTTGATGAAGCTATTCTTCGGCGTCTTCCTCAGGCCTTTGAGATCGGCATACCTGACCGCAGGGAGAGGGTGGAGATACTGAAGGTGGTTCTGAAGGGTGAGAGGGTAGAAGAGGACATTGACTTTGCTTACATTGCTGGTTTATGTGAAGGCTATACCGGTTCAGATCTCCTTGAGTTGTGCAAGAAAGCAGCCTACTATCCCATCAGGGACCTACTTAATGAAGAGAAGAAAGGGAAGTCATCTCCTGTCAGTATTCTTTTCTTTCTTATGTTTCACCATCTAGTCTCCTTCTTCTTCTTCCTCTTTGATAGGATGCTGCGGTTAAAAAAATCCGTATTCAATATCTGTATTCACCCTGTTTGGTTTTGTTATTTTTGTCAAACTAATTTGTATTTTCCAAAAAAAAAATTTAGAAAACAGATTTCTGAAAACAAAAAGCAAATAGAAGATGATAACCTCTTGCTTTCTTAGCTTGTACGACAGGGTCTATTAGTTCTCATCTGCGTTGCACCCATTTCTTGGCTTAAATGAATATCGGTATGATTATTTTAATTGCACTGACAGTGGCAAGTGAGATAAGTAAGATGCTCGATGCCATTTTCAGTAAATATAATACTTCATGATGCTAATTATGGGTTATTTGTATTGAAAAAAACGCCAACTTCAAAATTGATGGCCAATCCACAGACTCCTATACTGCATGAATAGCATATATGAAATTTAAGTAACATATTTACTGATCTTGTTGAATATTGTGGTATAATTTGTAAATTTTTTTTTACCCGTTTTAATTCAGGAACCAAGGCCATTGTCACAGTCGGATCTTGAGATTGTTCTCGCCTCATCAAGAAAGACAAGGGTTGCAGCAAGTGAATACACAGGGTTAAACTCTCAATCATCAGGATGGCCAAGGAATAGGGACCCAGAAGATTATCAGGTCCAAGCTGCGATCAGTGAGCTTTCTAAACTTGTGGTTTCCCAAATAATGAACCTTCAATCAGATACGCAAGATGCTTAAAATCATAACCTAGCTTGTTTGTATAATTACGTTCAAGTAAATGAATTACAAACGGAAGTTGTAGTCTTACGAGGCAGCTGAGTACTTCCCTGTTAACCCTTTTGGGGTATTTTGGAATTTTCTTATTTGTCTTAAATTTACACATTATTGAATCTTGCTTATTACATTGAATTTTGTTCTGTTACATAATCTTCTTAGTTGAGAACTACCAGGAAAGTCGAATGGCTGTGATTTTGTTAAATCATAATTTTTGCAATGACATTCACATGGTTACGTTTTGTGGAGTTTGCTTGCCATTTTCTGAATCTTGTTGAGAAAATTCCTCATCCCAGTTGAACAATTTGGTCGTGTTTTTTTTGTTTGTTTATTTGAGTTTTTAGAATGGTGCTCAAGATTTTAGCACGGTTACGTATTCTGTTTTCTTTCTCTTGTTAGCATCATATTGTTCCTTCTCAAAGAGGCCGAGGAGTGTTTTTTTAAATTTATTTTTATAACTATTTTTTCTTTCACATTGGACAGGTACATGGTCTAATGTCGATTAGATTAACTGTGTAAATCTTAATTTGTTTTGATATTGTTACAATTTGTAATTGGCCAAGTTTGACGTTCATTTTTTTTGTACTTTTTTTCTCTCCTCTCTGTCTCTCTCTGGATTTGTTTCATGCATTCTGAATTGGAAGTTCTGCTATCGTGGACATTGAATACTACACCTTCCAAGAGGTAGATAGGATTAGGTGTAAGGATGCACCACAACATGGTGCACCCCTTACATCTAATACCTGTTGCACCCAATACCTCCTTATAAAGAGACATTTGAGTTTTGTTTTATAAATGGTTAAGTTTTTTTGGGCGTTGAGATCTCAACATTATATAATTTGAGGGGCTTATAGGGCTATCACGGATCTTGTTTCAATGATTCAAATTGCTTATTTTGTAGGATTTACAATATATATCTTTTTTGAAAAAAAATTAATTTGATTTGATAATCATAACTTTTTTATTTTATTGCATTTGTGTTTAAAAAAATAGACGATAAATATATTTTTAAAATAGGCCATTAATTTTTTTAAAAAATGGAATACAATCAAATAGAAAGGTTATGATTATTGGATCATTTTAAAATTTTCATATTGCGAGTTTTATAAATTGGATTATTTAAATTATTAAATTGAGCCCCGTATTGGGTCTAAGGAGCCTCTCAATGTCATGTTGATGTTGAGAGCCTGACATTAGAAAAATCCAACTCTTTTATTAATGAGGTGTGTGTATGTGTTTTTTGGTTAGGAACTATCCAGCTTATGAGTTTAGGTGAAGCTCCCAATACATCTTTTTATAATATGAAGTTTGAGATGATGTCTGAACAAATTTATTTTGAAGAGGTTGGTACCAACTTGAGGTTTCAAATCTTTAGAGTGATGATAGTGATTCCCTCTTAAAAAAAGAAAGTGATAACTGAACTTGAAATTCATCATAAGCATATATATTATTGTGCTTGGCTTGATCTTTACTCTTAGGCCATGTTTATTTGGACGGACTAGATTAGTATTCCCATGACTAATAGTCCTAGGAATACCAATCCGTTGGATTATGTATCCTATCTTAACTAATAGTCAAGTTTAAAATAATTAATCCGTACTTTAATTGTTTAACCGAACATCGGATTAATAATTTTATTGGACTATTAGTTCAATCCCAAGCTCATGTCCACCCAAACAAACATGGCCTTACTGGATTTTATGGGCATAGCTTTCAGAGAAGTTATTGGTCGGTCTTGGGATCTGAAAGTTATTGGTTGGTTTTGGGATACCATTATGTGATATCTCAACAATATTGTAATTTATGAAAATGATAAAATTTATAAATTTGTATCAAAGTTATTGAAAAATATAAAAAGATATAGTGAATTGCGATTGGTATAGAACATGATCACGTGATGCTTTTCTAGCTTTCATGACAAATCGTCCTTTAATGGGTAGTTTAGCTCTCTTTGGTTGTAGACTCTCTCTCTCTCTCTCTCATAAAAGGTTCTTGCAATTTGAAACCGCTGTGGTGTGGCATGTGGGTGAGATCCAGGTCTTATTAAGGAATAAATGACTGTTATATATGATGATGACTGAGATTGTTCAAATTTTTATTGGACCACATCCCAAGGGTATATATGGAATAAATGACAATAATGTTACAAATACAAAAGTTTTCACACAAAATGTGCACAAAATTCGACACTGATAATACAGTATTCATCTTGGTAGAATATAAGGTATATTCAAAACATTTTGTGTGTTGCCAATGATTTGACATTATTTACAAAAACCTTTTGTTAAGGACAATTATGCCTGTCACAAAAAAATTATCGCTAAAATTGTAATTTGAGCAGAGCGTGTGACGTATTACTCTAAAATTATCAAATATTCTCTCGGTTATTTGGGAAGCTTAATTACAAAACGGGAAGCTTAATTATAAAGTTTTGGGGTGATTGTAGGAATTGATGTGAATTAATTTGATCTTTGATTATAATATAAATTGGTGACAGTTTTAGACCATTATAAGTGAAATTTTTAAATGTATTACATATACATTTTTTTAGGATAAAAAATATCGATATATGTATGATCTATTCTTAAGATATGGAGATATGAAAAAAAAAATAGAAAGGAGTTAAAAAGGTCTTTGAACAGCTTAATTTTACTTGGAGTGAAATTTGAGACTCAATCAGTTAAATTATGCTATCGGATTACAAATCTTTCACCATTATTATTATTATTTTTTTTTGATAATTGAGTGTCTGGACTATACAAAATTTTCACCATATACATCCTTTTTAATGTGCAGAGTCACATATTCTTTTTGTTTATTTGAATTTAGGATTTGAAAGTGATATATTGTAACCCAAGATTAAATGAGATTTTACCAACCACTAAATGATATTAGAATGTGACAAGTCCTTTATTTGTTGTTGTTTGTTTTCTCAAGAATTGACAACATGAAGACAACATAGAAAGCAAATATCAATCATGAGATACATCTATATATACTGTAGAGCTTTATACATCATGAATTTGAAATAACAGAACCAACCACAACTACTACGAGTGGATATTATGATGCCCCCTGAACTTTTAGCCACACCTATCTCTCAACCAGAAATTAGTTGCACTACCAAACACCTCTCTCTCTCTCTCTCTCTCTTTCTCTCATCTAGCCATTGATTTGTTTGTGGAATTTATTATAGTAAACAAAAATGTTATGAATTATAAAAATTTATTTTAAATTTTATCTTCAAAATATATGTGTAATGTAAATTTAAAATTAATAAGATGTAAATTGTACCCACAATAAAATATAGACCATTAATTATCTTTTTTGAATAATTTTTTGAATTTGTAATATAATTAATATTGTGGTAAATCATTGCAGCTACAAAGGTTAGCTCATGGCCATTTACACAAGGAACAATACAATAATAACAAAAAAGAGTATCTAATAGGATGCGAATCCGATTAGAATTTCACTCTTAAAAATTGACTCATTATGGAAGGATGCTTACGTGGTTTAGGCCAAATTTATTTTGTTCCAATATAAGGTTGTATCATTTCACTATGCTATGAGCTAATTTTATAATGTCATATTAAGACCCAATATATATTATTTGTAACTTATGCTCACTTAAAAACTTAAAGTTATAAATTGAGAGCTCATCTAATATATATTAACACTCATCTCTTCTACTCGTTATCCGATATAAGATTTTACCTTCACACATACTCCAACAGATACATCTAATCTCGGATTTGAGGTGGCTGCTGTGCGGGGTGCATAGCAGTCACTATTGTGTAACCAAATAGGCCCATTTCGAGGCTCATTTTAATAATTCGAATTGTTCACATTTTAGAATATATCACGTCGAACATACTTGTAAAAAATCAAGTTAATCAGATATCGTTTACCCTTTCATTCACTCACATTTGTATTCATTTTAATACTTTAAATCACAATTGTTAAGGGTAAACGATATCCAATTAATTTGATTTTTTTACAGCAATATGTTTAACTTGATATATTCTAAAATGTGAACAATTTAAATTATCGAAATGAGTCTTAAAATAAATCTATTTAACTGCACAACAGTAAATGCTGTGCATCCTCGCACTGCAGTCACCCTAGATCCTCTAATCTCAAGACTCATATAATATTTTACTTTGATACCAAATGAACTCTTTTAGCTAAAACTCAGGCTAGCAAAAGAAGTATAGTTTCATATCATAATCTGAAAGATCAATTTTTATGAAATGAGAATCTATTTAAAAATTTTGAATTTTTATACTGTAACAAGGCTTTGTTTAGGAATAAGTTATTTTAATATTTTTTTAATTTTTTATAAGGTGATATACAGAAATTTTTTTGAACAAAAAACAAATATATTTAGGATATTTTTTGACATAAAAGGTATAGAGAAAATAAAATATTTGATTTTTTGTATAATTCTTTAATTTTTGATTTTTTTAAAGATTTTTTTTTATTTTTTGACTATTGTTAACTTCTTAAAAAGTAAAAAATTTCACTGAAGTAGAAATATATTCAAAAAAAAAAATTGTGATTTTATTTGTAATTGTCAAACAGAGACGAATTGTATTAAAACAATATTTTTTCATAACTGTCAGCTAATAGTTTTTTGGTTCTTTTCCTGCTTAAATAGTTAAAAAATGAGACAGAAAGAGTTACTTTGGAAAGTAAGGTTAAAATTTAATTTTTTAATTTTTTTAAAAAAATATGTTAAAAAATAAAAGAAATAATATGACCGTTAAAAAATCAGTTAGCCAAGAGGCTAAAGTCATACCAAACAGGACCTTATTCTCCGTGTATACAAATAAATATGTGTGAATTGATGCAGGTTGAGGATGGGTGCCAGCTTAGTACCGTTGATGAAATCGCCGACGCCGTTAATCAGTTGCTTGGTAGAATCGAGGACGAAGCTGCTTTGACCTGAAATTATTGCATTGGGTTTTTATATTTCTCTTTAATTTCAATATTTTTTTCTTTTTTTTTATTATAAATAAAATAATTTAGTTTCTGTGAATATTATTGTGTACAACATTAAAAAAAAAAAAAAAAAAATCTTGTGTACTGGTGGTAATCTTTCCTTATTAGAAAAAGTAAAAAAAACTTTTTAGCAAAAATAAACAA